AGAGCACCCAACCTTCAAGGTGCCGTCTGAGACTCATGGTGAGCCAAGTAGACAGGCTGCAGCTGGCTCTGCTTCCTTGGCACGGTGGGGGTTTCTTAACCTCACGGCTGCAGGTCCTCTCCTGGGACAAGGAAAGAACCAGTTTTCTCAGGGTAACATGAAGGGCAGCCTGATGTGGGGGAGGAGCCAGGGGAGGGCAGGCCTGGGGGATGGGTAGGATGGGCAGGCCCTGGACTGGAGGCTCCTGGCAAACCCCCAGGAGCTGCAAGCAGCCGTTCGGCACTCACTGCCTCATGCAGGGACCAGGCCACACTTCGCCTGGCCCTGGGGCCTGACAGGCAGAGTGGCTGTGCCTGGGTCACATGGTGGCTCACGATGCTCCAGGGGCTGGGCCATGAGGGCTGGTGGGTGCCAACCTGTACTGGTGCTGGTGCCCAGAAGGGATCCAGGCAGCCCTGACCTAAGGGAGCCCACACAGGTTACTTCTGTGAGACAGCCAGGAGCAGAGCCTGGCGGGAGTTCATCAGGAGGGGGGCCCAGTGACAAGGGTTAGCCAGGGACACTTCAAGGGGGAAGTGCCACCCAAGCAAGGTTTTGAGCAGGAGAGGGAGCTGAGCCCTTCTGGGCCCAGCAGCCCCAAGTCAGGGTGAGGGCAGAGGTTGGGGTGGGGTGAGGGCTCTGCACCCTACCTGAGCCCCCAGTCTCCTTCAGCAGGCGGGCAGTGACATGGGCCGTCCTGCACCCGCTACCTGAGCAGTGAGGACCTGGGCTCCCTGCCAGCAACAGGGAGGAAGTGGCACAAATCCATCTGAAAGCAAATGCCAGGCTAGCGAGTGTGCACAAGAAGCCTCCGCAGCTCTGAATGTCAAGGGGAGCCGCCGCCACCGTCTGGCTCCACGGTGGAGCAGGGCTGAGCTGTGTTCTCCAGCTCCTGGGCTGCACCACAGCCACTGCATGGGGTGCGCTGGGGCCACTCAGGGGTATGGGGAGGGCCCTCAGCAGAGCCTTCTGCAGGGCTTTGGGATGTGCAGAAGGTGGGCTGAGCTCTCCTCCCAGGGCTGAAGGTGGCCGAGAAAGGGATCCAGCAGCCACACAACACAATGCCTCCTCCCTTCCTCACCCCCTCCCCACGCCAGGAAATGCATGCAGCAGGTGCTCCTGTAGGCGCTCAGCCATGATGGAGGCCTGGGTGCTCTTCTCCATGCTGACTGCAGGCCTGGCAGGTCCCCGCCCAGGGTGGCTCCAGCCAGTTTCCCTTTTACAGCGCTGAGGACTGAACCCAAGGTTTCATTTCATTTTCATATTTTATTAAGACAGATATGGCTGCCACTGAGTGGAGGTTCTCAAGGACCCAATGCCTGGATTCTAGAATTTCCCTGGTCTTCCCCACTCAGCGAGTTCCTGAACCTGGGAGCCCAGGACCTGACCCCAGCTGGAAGGATGGGGTCACATGCAGAAAAACCCTCAGAGAGGAGGGAGGGGTCAAGGAGAGCTGCAGAGGGGGACACAGGGTTTGAGGAGAACCTTGAAGGAGCAGGAAGATTCTAGAAGAAGGTAGGGAGGAGGGAGGCGTGGCAAGGGATGGCACACCTGGATATGGGTCGAAGACTGGGACTTTTCCCTGTGGGCAAGAAAGAGCCACCGAAGGCTTCAGAGAGGGAGAGTGCCAGAGTCCCAGAGTCACTGAAGGGGACCACTGGGGACGTGGGAGGAGGGGAGCTGACCAGGTGGAGGAGGACCCAGAAGAGACTGGACGGAGACAGCACGAGATGTGGTGCAGAAGGTCAGCTCCTGCATCACAGAAGAAACTCAGCTGCATCCAAGCCAGCGAGGGGGGCCAGCCTGCAGGCCACAGCCTGGGGCCTTCTGCTCATCCCTGGGTGGACTCTGGCAAGGCTCCCCTGGAGGCCTCTTCTCCTCAAAGTCCCCGTGTCTCATGGAGGGCACACACCTGCTCCATGGTGCCTGACCCCACAGGGTTCCAAGGACCTGGTGGTACTCCGTGTCTGCCCAGGAACAGAGAGCCAAGACGCCACCCTGGCTCTTGGCTTCTGCCCACACTCGGCCTGGGCCCAGTCACTAGCTTCTCAGACCTCAGTTTCCAGTTCCTTAACTGAGCAGATGGGTGCTGTGGCCTTTTCTACGACTCAGTTGTACTGCATCATGGCAGCTGCAGGAGGCAGGTGCAGAGTGGCAGCAGGCCCGGTGGGCACAGAAGCCGACTGCAGGGCTGAGCGCGCAGGCGTGAGCCCAGCAAGCACAGGAGATGATCCCAAGACTGCTCAGCTGTGAGGGTGAGGGAGGCCTGGACCCTAGACCTTCCTCCGTTCCCAGCCCCGATGGCCTGCGCGAATCCACATGGTCCAGAGGTCTATAGCACTAGTCACTTGATGGTGGTGGGGGTTTGCCAGTAGGAACATCCCAGAGCTGGAGCAGGGCAGAGGGTCCACAAAGAGGACAGGGTCGAGGTGGATAGAGTATCCCAGGGCATGGAGTGGGAAGGCGTGGCCCATGGAGAGAATAGGGTGCTGACCCCATATAGAATCTCTCAGCACCCCTGCCCACCTCCACTCCCATCCAACCGCACCCCAAACTGGTCCTACAAAAGAGGACTCCAGGAGTAGGAGCTGGGTCACCCCCAGGCTCCTCCCGAGCAGGAACGAGGCCTTCAGTGCTGAAAGGCTGGCAGACCAGGTCAGCTCAGCTGCCCACTGGCCTTCTCCAGGGATCTGAGCTGGGCCAGGAGGAAGTGAGCTTCTGGAAGAAACCATCACCATTCCCCTGGGCACAGGGCCTCCGAGGTCACAGGACACCTCGATCCCTCCCCCAAGTTGGTCCCCGTCCTTCTCCAGGCTGAAGTCAAGGCACGGCTGAGGACAGGGCTGCCCCAGAGACGCTGCGGCCACCGTCTGGAATCAGGCTGGCCTCACACGGTGCCCGCCTGGACCTGGCTCTTGATGAGGCAGGCTCCCTGCGTTGCACATTTATGGGCCTGGGTCCATTTGGGATTCTGAGGGTCCAGGTTCAAGACTGTCCTGAAGCCAGACAGGCTGACCCTGGCAGGTTCGGGCCACAGGAACCCCGCCAGGCCCTGGGCTCCTCCTCTGCCCCTGGCCCTGCTCCAGGTTCATCAGTGGTCAGGAGACGGGGCCCTGAGACTGGTCTGTGTGGATGTCCACACCATGCCCACCTTGCTGAGCCAGGTGGAACAACAGGAAGCAGAAGGTCCTGGGAGGCCAAAGCACCGCCTCTTTGCAGGGCAGGTCCTGAGGTCTGCTCTTGGGGGAGCCCCTCGTAGGCAAGCACTGCCCCCTGGTGGGGATCCTGGGCATGGACTGAGCTCCAGGGACCCTTCATCCCTGAAGAAGTTCAATGGGCAGGTGACCCCTCTGTCCCTCCTGCCCACCCCTGCTCTCCCAGGTGCTCACAGGTGCCCGTGGACCCCATGACCTCTTCAGCCTCAAACACTTTGGAGGCATCTGCAAATGTTCCCTGTCATAAAGGGGCCCTGGGACAAGTGCCAGAAGTCCAGGTGAAATATGGGGTCACAGCAAGAAGGGGCAGCATGTTTGTGCAGACAGATACCTTGGGCACCCAGGAGCACCCATGTTACCACGGAGCTCACATCTTAGGTCCACCAAAACCCAGAGGGCTTGACAGGGGCCACACAGGAGGGAGGGCATGGCAGACAAGAGCACAGGAAGACTGGCCAACAGGCAGGAGGTGTCCGTGTGGACACAGGGTGTGCAGACAGGCTGAGGGGCGGGAGGTGCCTGAGCAGAGCATGGTTGCCTCACCCAGTGGTCCAGGCTCGTTGCTGCCCTGAGAAGAGGGTCTCTGGGCCTTGATCCCCCAACATCACCCCTGCCCTGGGCTCTGCGAGGCACCTGTTTGTTCCCAGTTGTCCAGCTCTGACACAACAAGCTCTGGCCTTTGTTCCCTATGGCTGCCTAAAAGAGACAGGGGACAGCAAAGTGTGACTGCCTGGTGGGGACCAGGGTCAGGAGGACCCAGGGACAGACCTAGAGACCCACAGGGGGGCCAAAGCATGGTCAGCCCCAGGGGGCTTGCAGGATGCAGCTCCTGCCCTTCCCTACTGACCACCTATGCCCTCTGTGTTCTGCTCAGTGGCAGAGGTGGCTGCTCTGGTCCTACCTGACGATGGTGGCAAGGAGCAGGGAACTCTGTGCAGGCACCCTACAGCCTGACACATGGCTTTGCGGCCAAGTGCAGACCTGGGGCAGCAGGAGGCCTGGGCACCTCAGGAGACCAAGGTCAGCAGAGGTCATACCTCAAGCAGGGGGCAGATGTGGCCCCAATTGGAGGAAGAAATCCTTCAATTCTGCTCTGCTGAGAGCTGCCAGCTGGCTGGCTAGCGTCCACCTCCAGGCCATGTGAGCCCTGCTGTGTGCAGAACCCTGGCTGGGGGACCACCGAGTCACAGGCTGCTGGAAGCCCCACCACGCTCCTTAGCCTCTTAGTAACAGACTACAGCTTTGCAGGCACACGGTGCATGTTGTAAAGAATGTTTCCTGGTCTTACAATATGTGACAAGTTCCAGCCGGTGGGATATAAGTAAAAGTGGGCAGTCTCACTGCAGAATCACGACCTACAGAAACTTCTGGACACAGAGAAGTGAGGCAAACAGCTCAAGAACTGCAGAGGGGAGTGGGCAAGACTGTCCTCCCACTGCATGTGAGACTGGATGGAGACAGGCAGTACCACTGGGATCCAGGTTATTCACCTGTGCTCCTCCAGGGCCCTGTGGGGTCCAGGTCACAGGCAGGAAGATTTTTAGAAGCAGGCCAGGAACAGGGAATGTCATGGTGACTCAGACCTCTGGCCTCCAGAATGCCAGGGAATAATAGCAACCTGGTTTGTGGCATTGGAAGGAAGCCCCAGGGCTTAGGGCCGAGGGCTGGGGAGAGGGCCTTCCTCCCAGCCATGTCCCCAGCTCTCCAACCAACAGCACCAGGCGGGAGAACAAAGAGGCCACTCAATCCAGGTTGAATCACTGCATTTATTAAGTGCACAGGCCCACTGGGCATCTGGACTTGGCCCCATGGCAGCAGAACTTTCCAGAACTGTCTATGTGCATCCCTGGCGTGGGATTCTGCACCCAGAGTCCCCTGGGCAAGCCTGAGCTGGCCCATTCATGTAACACAAGCATCAACCTGTCCGTGCTGAGTTGGCATCTCGGCTAATCCGTTAGAAGACCAGTGCTTGTCCCCTGGTGTCTGTCCCTAGGAGATGGGGCACAAGCTCTAGTTCCGAGTGTGTAGCGGCAGCACATTCACAAACGAGCAGGGTGGAGGCCGCGGTCCATAGGTGCACGCAGTGGGCAGAGGTGCGCGTCAGCACAAAGGCATCATGAAGAATTCTTTGGAGCATGAACAAAAGTGCAAAGGCGGCCGATGGCGGGAGGGTGCGTGGGGAGCTGCAGCCACCCTGGCCAGACAGACTGCAGCGCATGGGTGCGGGCATGGGGTGCACCAGGCTGGCCTGGGCGGATGGCAGCAGCAAAAGGGACAGCCAACGCGAGCGCCTCTGCATGAAGCAACCGAGAGACCTCCGCTGCTCGCGACTGCCCCATGCTGCCTGACCCAGAGGCGGGGCCCAGGTGTCCAAGCCTGACAGAGGCCAGGGGTCTGGGCTGACCTCAGTGAGTTTCTGTCAACAATGCTTTTAAGGCAACGACTTTGTATAACCCAGTCCAAGTTAGATGTGCGGCGTTCAGCCATGGGCCCTCCTGCCCAGGAGACCCAGGAACCATTCCCTCCTCTCGGCCCCAGACAGAGGGTTTGACACTGCAGAACTCTGGGGCAGGGCCACTGAGACTCAGCACCCTGGGTCTGCCAGGGTATAAGGCCAGCATCAAGTGCTCACTCAACCCTGCTGTGGGCACCAAGGTTGCAGAACTGCAAGGGCTCCACCTCCCACAGAGCACCTTCCCTCCGCTGCCCTCTCCCTCACACTCCTCTTCCTGAGCTGGTTCTTAGCCCCACTCACTAGACAGCAAACCACGTCCCCCTTCATTCTGGCTCTGGGCACACAGAATGAACTGGTGTGCAGTTGGAGGAGCTCAAGTCTCAGAGAGGGGAGAGAAAGTGGGGTTTGCCCTTGAGTAGGGAAGCCCCCCCACCTCCCCTCCGTGGTGGTTCTGGGCCTCAGCTGGGGCCCAGGCAGAACCAGAGCAGCTGGCCTGGGCAGCAGTTCTGGCCTGTGGACCCTGAGGCCATGCCCAGCCCTCTGTACCTCACAGCTCACATCCCATACATAAGCAGGTAGCCCAGGAGGTTGACACAGGACAGGCAGTCTGCACCATGGCTGAGAGTGCTGAGGGCCGTGCCAGGTCTGCCCCAGCCATGTGCACTGGGGCCCCACAGGGGCCATGGGCAGAGCCTCTCACTCAGAAGCCAACCCGCCCCGCTGGGACACAAGATGACCCAGACCCTCTAAGTCTACTCTGAATGGGCTGTGCTGTCCACCCCCACCATGTTTGTTTTACAGGGTTGTGACCATGGAGGGCAGCTGAAGTGTTATCTGCTGGCTGTGCAGGCCCAGATCCATCATAAATCCACAGCCTCCACTCTGTACACCACTTACAGGCGGGGTGGCCCAAACGCACCCCAGTGTTTCCAAAAGGCTTCCCAGCCCTCGGCCCATTTTGCCTTCAGGAAGCATCGGGGACGATCCCCACCTAAATAGGTTTCCTGAGAACCTGGCGTGGCCCTGCCACCTTCCCTGCCTAGAGCAGGAGGTGGGAGAAGGTGGCCTACCCTCCAGGTGTCCCAGCCACTGCAGATGGGGTGGACTTCGAAGTCTGTGACCAGGGGGACAGAAATGTCATGGTGGACATGCAATACCTGTTTGAGACAGGACCTGGGGTGACGAGGCCAAGCCATGTCTAAGAATGGCACAGGTGGCCAGCACAGCTAAGCTGGAACAGGTCTGGACACCAGAGGGTGCTGGAACCCCCGGTCCCCACCTGGCTCCCCTAGGCCTTCAGCAGGCCACAAGTGCTGGACAGCTGCCCAGCCAGCCCAGGAGAAGGCAGCATGGGGCCCTTAATGGGCTCAAGGTTGCCCCTCTGGCACTGGTCCAGGAGCCTTGGACAGTGGGAACCCCCACCTAGTGTTCAGCATTCCAGAACCTTCTGTGTAAAGTCATTAATTCCTGTGGCTCCCTCCCTGGGCAGCCTAAATCAGGAAAAGTCAAAGAGAAAAAGGCCAGAGACAAAGGGCAGCCCAAGTCGGAGTCGTGGTGGGTGTGTGCATGTGTCTGCACACGCAGACTGTGCGCTTACATGTGCATGTGTGTGAGCATGTGTGGGCATGATTGTGTACTGGCCACATGTGGTTGTATATGTACATGTACTGTCTGTGAATGTGCTTTATATGTGAGTATGTGTGACAGTGCACCTGCTGTGAGCTTGCACTGGTGTGCATATGTGAGTTTTGTGTGTTCATGTGAGTGCACATCTCCTGTGTGTGTGAAAGTGTGCACCTGGCGTGCGTGGTCTGTGAGCATGCAGGAGAGTCTTATGCAGACCTGTATGTGTCAGTGGGCACGTGGGCACATGGGTATGCATGCTCTAACAATGTCTTGTCTCAGGAAACGTGTGCCACAGGGTGGCCACTGGCCCCAAGAAAGTGCACACATTTCTCACACAAACCTCCAGCTTCCTTCTCTAAGGGTAAGACAGCTGCCCAGGGGCAGTGGACAGCTGTGCTGCTCAGGCCTGGGTCTGCAGGCCCAAGAAGGAGCTTCTACCTTTCATTGCCTAGAATGGGCCCCCAGACCATCCCACAGAGTCCAACACCTTCCCTTCCCCAGGGGCCAGACTGCATGGCCAGGACACCAACCCTCCTTCCTGATGCAGAGTGGCCAACAGTGTAGCCTTTACCCCTCCTCTTGCAACCTAAGGAATGTCATCCTGCTGTCTGCAGAGTGGCTGGGGCTCCTAGAGAGGCCACTGTCTGCCATACTCACCCTGCAGAGCCCCAGCCCTGGTACCTCAGGTGCCCACTGTGTCTGAGGCACACAACATGCTGCCACAGGTAAGGCAGGAACAAACCTCCCTCAGGGAAAGAGTCCCTCCCCCAGGTCCTGGAGCCTGCACAGGCTGAGAGCATCCTGGGACCTTGGGCCCCAGCAGGGAGTGGGCTAGGGCTGGCGGTGTGTTGGAGCTGGCTGACCTTGTCCTCCTGCCAGTGGGCCCAGCTGGAACCTCCCTGTGCCACACCAAGGAGGACTCAGATCCGAGGCCTAAAGTAGCCAGAGGAATTGGTGTTGGGTGGCCACCCACACTGGAAGGGACATTTCTCCCCACTGGAGGGCTCTCTGCCACATGATACCGTCCTTGAAAACCACAATGCCATGTGGATCTGTCAGGAGAATGTGTCTGTGGCTCCTGACAGGCAGCCCATCCGTGTGCCCCAGGTAGCTCCTGAGTGCCCTGGCAGGGGCACTGAGGCTGCAACAGCCACTAACCCACTGCTGATGACAGTTTCCCAAGGTCCCCAAGTGCCCACGACCTCCAATGGCCAGGGGCATGTTACCCCCTAACCCTGCTTCAAAGTTCTTCCAGCCGGCAAGAGGGCTCCTTCCAGACAAGCTGGGGGTGCCATCGCCAGAATGCCAGAGGCTGCTAGGCCCCAGGCCACAGGACCATAACATCCCCCTCTGCATCCTGGTGGCTGGACACAGGCCCCTAAAGCTGAATACCCAGTGGGCCAAGGCACCCAGACAGGAGGGAACAAGGTCCCTGCTCACTAGGGCCCAGGGAAGGGATGTCTCAACTCCCAAAACACTGGGAGGCCATAGCCAGGGACCCACCAGTGGAGAGTATGACCAGGGTGGCCAGCTGTAGTGGGAAGAACACACAGCAGCCCTCTGCAGTGGGTGAGCCAGCTGACCAAAGGGCTTTCCTGCCCAGCGATGGCCCCAGCCAGCCCTGCCTTGGTCTGCTGGAGCACAGGTGCGGGACCAGCAGGGTGAATCCTGGCTAAGGACAGTGTGGGTTGCTCAAAGGGCTAGCCACAGCCTGGTGACCAGCACCCAGCCAGGGCAGTGAGGAGAAAGGACACATCATGGGGACTCACCCAGAACTCCTGTGGCTGGGAAGCTGTGGCTCCTGTGGGCTTGGGAGACCCCGGGTCAGGGCAGATGGAACTTTGAAATTCCCTATCCGGGGAGGCTGCAGGGTGGGCCTTTCAGGAGGGTCCAGAGTGACTGTGAGCTTGGGTTTTGTCCCCAAGGCCTCACTCCTTTCTCAGCTCCAGGCAAGGGGTCCTGAACTCCAACCCACTCCCTTGGCAAGGCCCACGGAGCTGGCAGGGGTCGGGGATGCTGGCCGGCAACTCTCCAGCCAGGCACCCAGGGGTGGGGGTCTTGCCCAGCTCCTCACACACAGAGGAACCCGGGGACAAGTGGTCAGGTGCCAGGACAGGCCATGCCCAGTGGCCTGTCACACCCTCCTGAACTGAAGCCCTCGCTAGGCACCCCCCAGAACTCAAGGCCACACTGTCAGGGGCAAGTCTGCCCCAGCCACACCCTCCTGGGCCCTGCTCCCGGGCCACACCCCCATAGCCATGCCCCCTTGGTCACTTGGCCCCCCCTCACTAGCTGGGCCAGGTCTGTCCCTGCTGAGCAGCTTGTTGCTGCAGGGTGCTCCTTCAGCCCCTGGTTGGAAAAGAACTTTTGCAAAATGTCACTGCACCAGCCAAGGAGCCGGGCTGCCTGCACCGGCAAGTGGGCCTGACAGCCCCACAGGTGCCCCACAGCACACGTCACTCCAGAAGAGACCCCGCAGAGCTCACACCCCCAAAAGGGACAGGCAGAGCGGCGTGGGCGGGTCCTGCGCCCTCACTTCCTGGGCCCGGCCCAGCCCACCTCGCCAAAGGGGCCCTCCCCCGTGGCAGAGCGCGGCGGAGGTCCGCAGGGCGTGCAGAGGTCCGAGTCTGTGTCGGACTCGCCCTCGGCGATGTAGGGCCTGACCTTGGCGCAGGGCGCCGCAGCCGCGTAACCGCCACTGAGGGCGTCCAGGTTCTCCCTGGACTGGGAGATGCTGAAGCCACTGAAAGAACGTTCCAGCTCCTCGTGGTCCACGGACGGGATGGAGATGGACGTGTCGCTGTCCCGCAGGGCGGCCTCGTGGGGCCTACAGACCGCAGCGTCCTCCAGCCTCAGGAACTCGGTGCTGGCCCTGTTGCCCCCGCTGTAGGCGGACAGCGACCGCTCGTGGGCAGGCGGCGGCGGGATGCGCACCAGCGAGCTGTGGTCCCCCACGGGGGAGGTGCCATGGCGCTGGTGGCTCTGCTGCTGCCACGAGGTGGACGGCGGGCATGGGGCGGGGGGCGCGCAGAAGTTCCTCTGGCCAGTGGAGCTGCTGGAGCGGACGACTTTGACGATGCAGCCCTGCTTCTCCACGTGCTCCCGGCTGTCCTCGGGGCTGTGGTATGGCGGCGCTGGCTCCGGCTCTTTCGCCCCGAAATAGGCCTCGGTCTCTGTGGGCGGGATGCCCATGCGCTGCGTGTAGATGCTCACCAGGAAGTCCAGCTTCTTCTCCATGGACAAGACCTGCAAGAGGGTGCTGCCGCTGGACCTGGCTTCCAGGGACCAGGGCGGCTCCCGGACATGGAAGGAGAGCCGGGAGGAGCGAGAGGGGGCAGGAGCTGCCCCTCCTTCAACCCGGACTCAGCAGCTGGGCCTCCGACCCCACCAGTCAGTTTGAGGCCTGTGCTGAAGCCCACCTCCCAGCAGACCCAAGGGTCTGGTGTGATGGTTTCCGATGAACCACTCCCAGGAAGAGGGCTGTGGGGGTAGGGTCGCAAGGCCAGAGGCGAGGAAAGCCAGAGAGGTGTGACTTCTGACAAGTTCTACAGCAGATTAATCCCTTCCCCTACTCGATGCTCAAATGCAAATCCTGCCTCCCAGCTACCCCACCCAGGACATGGAGGGAAGAACATAAACTCTGGGTACTTCTGACTTAAGTGCTGACTCCAGAAATACCCTACACCAGGACACGGTGGATTTGAAGAGCCGAGCCCCCTCGGCCAACACGGAGGCTCCGACAGCAGGGGCCACACCCACTCCTCCCCTCCGCCCAGCCAGCAAGGGTCCCATACAGCAGAGGCCTGGTCCAGGCCCTCCCACCTGCTTCTCCACCTTGCCCAGGCGTCCCATCATGCTGGGGTCCTCTGGCAGCTCCGCCTCGGAAGGGCCCTTGGTGCGGTCCTTGTCCGTTATCGCCGGGCCACGCCCCACGATCTGGTCCACTCTACCGGGAACAGAGACCCGGCCCCCAAGCATGAGTTCAGGAGGATGTGGCTTGGCCCCTGCCCCTTCCACCCAGGTCAGCCCACAGCCCCCAGATCTGGGCTCCAGGCCCAACCCAGAGCTGACCAGGGGGCAGTAGGTGCCAGGACAGACGGACACTGGTGCCTCACGTTCCTGCCTGCCTTCTGACACCATCAGGGTCCTGTTCCTATCCATTCCATTCCAGTGGGGTCTGGCACATTAAGAGGAGTAAAGTAAAGGAGCTTCCCCTGGGGCCAGTCCACCCCCAGCTCCTCTGCAGCAGAGTCCCCGTCCTCCCTCGGGCCCCCATCCCACCTGCCCACCCAGCTCCCTCTCCTCCCTGGCCTGTGGCTTTTTGGCCTCCCAGCACACTGAGGCCCAGAAGTCAGGGAAGCTGGTGGGCATCCAGCCAGAGGTTGGGAGCATGGCGTGATGTGCCCTTGCTCCAGAAGCCACAGCCATCCCACCCCTGAGCTTTACTCCTACATAATGTGCCACGGAGGCCCTTGACCCCAACAGGGTCTGACAGGGACAGTTAGATGTCTGCAGCAGGGACAACAAAAGCAGGAGGCGGTGAGGGCTGCAGCTCCATGCACCAGGACAAGGATAAAGGGAAGAGAGCCACACAATCAGAGGAGGGCTGGGACAAGCCGCCACCAACCAGTGTGTGTATGTGTGAGAATGGGTGTGCTCATGCAGGTGAGTGCATTGTACATGTGTGCACACTCATGGGTGTGCATGGGTATAAGTGCATTGTACACGTGCTCATACATCTATGTGCTCATGACTATGTGCCTGGGCATGTGTTCACAAGCATGTGTGTAGAGGCTATGCATGTGGGTGTGTATGCATGTGAATGTATCATACTTGTGTCCACATGTGTGTGAGTGGGTGTGCACATGGACATGTATGCAAGTGAGAGTGCGTTGCATCTGTGTGTTCATATGCAGGATATGGAATTCAGCCGAGCTGGTTCTGAATGAGGCCCTAGGTCACTGATGCCATAAGAAGGGAAGGAGGCTCCTTCACCCTTGGAGACCAGCTCCTGTTGAACAGATCCACAGTGAGTCCTGCAGGGCTGGCAGGGGCTGGGGAGTAGGTGTGGGCCGAGAACTGCAGCTGTGGGACACCCACTCAGAAACCAAGATGCTATGCTGGCTGAGCCTACAAACCCCACTGGGCTAACGGCAGCTCAGGACAGGGTGACTGAGCAGGACCAACCCAGGCCAAGGCCACCAGCCCACTTAGCTCTGGACAGCAGCTTGTGCACAAGAACACCCAGCTGCTTTCTGCAGGCAGGAATGCCCTGCCTGCCTCTGGAGCCGGGCATATTCCTTCTGTCACATGAAACAGAACAGGGCCAGACTTGCGGCAGCCAGATGCAGCCTCCTCATGCTCCACGGGCTTCATGCTAGACTCATGCACGAGGGGAGGGGGCCTCTGGCTCCAAGCAGACGCCATGGCAATGGAGGGGGCGGGCCCTGGTGTTCCCGTGTCACATAGTCCAGGCACAGATGCACAGCACTTTCACCCCGGCCACATGACGGGCTGCCTGCCTGGCGGGTCCCAACGGGAGCCTCAGCCCAGGGCTCAGCCTAGAACTGCTGCAGCGGCATCTGGGAGAGGGTCTTCCAAGGACCCTGAACCACCTTGCCTCCTCCTCCTCTTGGGCTCAGCTGGGGAGTTGGACTCAGCCCCACATGCTCAGTGCCCCTGGGGTGAACCTGAAGGTCCCTGGCTGCAATGGTCTGAGAGGTCTGAGGACCAGCAGGGCCTTCCTGGCTCACTGGTTGGACTCCCAGGCACCATCTCCTGCAGCAATGCCCAAGGGACAAGGCTTAAGTCTTCGAGAGCAGCCAAGCAGTGGACTCAGCAGGTACTGTCAGGGGCCACCCCGAGTCAGGATGCAGCAGACACCACCTTGCCTGCTCCCTGGGACTCACTCTCTCATGATCAGGGCTGCTGGGCTGAGAAGAAGCCCAGCACAATGAACCTCAGCCTCCTGGGCAGCCACTTGGCCAAGGGGGTAGACAGACGCTGTGCCTGTCAGTTCTGTCCAACGCCCTGTTTGTCCTCTTGGCCTGCCCCAGGGGCTTCTCTCTCGCTGGCCTGTCTGACTTGTTGGAGTCAGAGGAAGCCAGAGGCCATGAAGGTCTCACTGGACCCCTGAAGAGCCTGAGTGTGCCATCTGGCTGTACCCTGACCTCCATTCTGCCTGTCAGATGGCGGGGCAGTCCTGCCGTCTTCCTTATCACTATTGATGACCATGACCACAACTTGAAGTAACTCCAGAGCTCACTTGGAGCACCCGCCGTGGTGCCTGGCAGAGGCCCCCTCTTTTTCTCCTCCTAACTGTGAGAGGCAGGCAGCAGAGTCTGCTGCTGTGCCTGGGAAGCAGCCCCAGCTGCTCAGAGCACACAGCCCCAGGGTCAGCCAGGTGTGTCCGGGGTCGGCCCAGTCACAGGCAGGTCTTGGGGGCTTGACTCAGTTAGTGCCCAGGGAGACCCGGGAGGGCCTCAGCCTGGAGGGCAGGTCTGCAGCCAGGCAAGGAAACACCTGTGTGGCCACTGATGTCCTCTGCTTCTGCCCAGGAGTCCCCCAGCCCCAGGTGGACCTCACAAGGACACCCACAGAGAGGAGCCCTGGCTGCCCCAAGAGGACTGCAGGGCACTGGATAGTCATGACTCCCTTCACTGCCCCTTGGGGCCCTTGTGAGAGAGCCTTCCCCTGTGCAGGGCACTTGCAGGAACAGAAAGCTTGGACATGCCCTCTGTCCTGAGGAAAGGACAGTCTGCGGTGCCGCCGTCATGTGGCCTGGAGCGAAGGCACTGGCCGTTCACAAGACAGGTTGGGAAGAGATGAGGCGTCCTAACCTAGGTGAGTACTGGGGTGACTCTCTCGGAGGGGCCGTGGGTCCTTTGGTGGGGTACTTCTTGTGCCGGGGAGTTGAAGGGGGTGGGGGGCCCACAATCATATCTATCCTGGCAGCGTAAACAAGAAAAGAGACACCAGCAAAACGCATCGTCACGCAGCTCAAGAGGGGTCACTGGAAGCTCAGCAATGGGACAGCCCCACTCAGACCGCAGCGGTTTTCCTAGCAGAAAGGGGCTGGCCGCACGCATGGCCCTTGGGCATGCTGAACAGGGCTCGCTCCAGGAGCTGCTCTATGGGCAGCCCAGCCTCACCAGGGAGCTCAGGTAGGTATGGAAATGGGTGCATGTGCTGGGAGCCAAATCCCAGAGAAGGTGCGAGGCTGCACAGCAGGAATGGGGCATCACGGACGAGGGCCGTCCGGCTTCCCCAGGCCGACTGGTCTGTTTTTCAGACAGACAGGGAAGCAGAGGGGGAAAGGTGGCTGGAAGGACCTGCTGAGCAGGCAGCTGAGCAGGCAGCTGACCAGCATGGGCAGGAGAGGCACAGAGTCCCAGCTGTTAGTCTGCTCTGGGAAGGCCAGGAGAGGCCCAGCCCAAGCCCAGCAGAGGAGATGCCTCCCTGAACCCCATCTTGGGAGTAACTTAAGGCCTGAGAGGCCCCACTGTCACCTGAAGCAGGAGAGGCCAAACCTCCCCATCAGAGCTGCCGTGGCCTCCAGGCTGCCCTTCACTGTCCAGACCCTCTCCATGTGAGCTGGACCCCATTGCACCTCCAGGCTGGAAGCAGCCACAGCCTCTGTTGGAAACCTTGGATGGGGAGGACCCCACCAGTAGAGTCTGGGACCTCCTTCAGGAGAAACTCCTGCAGCATGTGGCTCCCTACAGGTGCCACCACATGTGTGGCCACACACGTGTGCATGTACTGGCTGTGAGCACCCTGGGGGGTGTAGGCTAGAGCACAGGCCAGAATGGGGACCTGTGTGCCCATGTGCAGAGACCTGTGCATGTGTGTGCTCAGGCCCCCATTCATGCTGTGAGGCATGGACATGGAATTCCAGGAATTAGCTAGCCTCTTCCCCACACGGACACCAGTGGGTGCCCAGCTACCACAAGCCTAGACGCACTCAGGAAGTGGGGCGACTCCTTTACAATGGGTGGACAATCACGTTCTGAAGAAGAGGGGTGGCAGTGTGTGCTGCCTGGCAGAGTCCTCTCTCCGAGGGGAACTCCATTCCCAACGCGTGCACATGTGTACACACGTGTATGCACCAATTCATCCGTGTGCATACACGGCACAGCACACAGGCACACGTGCACACACCCGCACATCAAACACACATGCATGGGCACACACATGCACACACACATGCACCTACACATACACGTGTGCACCCTCATCCAGAGACCCTCACATGTGCACATTCACACACACATGCATGTGCACAGATATGCATGTGAGTGTGCATGTGCACGTGCGCACACACACACACACACACACACACACACAGAAAACTTGCCCACCACAGTGCAGGGAAGTCAGGGGAGAGAGGGAAGACAGAAAAATATTAGAGACAGACTGGAAGACAGGGCAGAAAGCTGGCAGACGCCGGTGGTGGGAGGCCCACCTTAGCCCTGCTCCTGCCCTGCACCCTCCCGGGCCGGCCCCCAGGGGCCCTCTAGCCAGCCCTGGGCTTTGGCCCAGAAGGCCCTCGAAGGTCCTGGGCTGGGAGGCAGGTGGGGGCTCTTGCCTGGACTGCAGGCTTTTGATGCGGGACAGCATATCCAGGTGTCCAGCGGAGTACTGCTCGATGACATCCATCACGTCGTAGGGCCGCAGACTCTCCTTGAACTTCCGCTTGGACACCAGGAATCGCATGACACTGCAATGGCCAGGCAGAGCCATGAGCTCTGAGCCAGAGAACATGCTGGCCCCAGTGTCCACCAGCCTGTCACCCTCCCAGCACCTCTGCAACTGTGGGTGCTGGAGGGCCGCTCACCAGCCACTTCAGTGCCCGGCATCACAGACAACCTCCGTCTACCTGGACCTGCCAGCCGAGCAGCTCCCGACCTCCTTGCCTCAGCCCCCCACTGCACCTAGGCCGTGTCTGCAACACCCACTTTGTGAACTCGGTGGCCAGGGCCCAGCACCAAAGGGGAGGCCCAGCAGAGGGGCTTTGCATGGGCACCAAGGGGAGGTCATGCAGGTCCCTCACCACACAGCTCGGATGCTGACTTTGAGGCCAGGGGTCAAGTCCTCGGTCACGAACTCACAGGTACAGCTCTTGTTGTCCTCCACTGCGTCCTCCCCAGGGAGACTTGCTTCTAGGTGGAAGGATGTGCAGATGTGAGTGGTCATGGCCACCAGGCCCCTCACACTGCAGACCTGCCCATCACGCCTCTCTGCAGCACTTCCTCTCCCACAGGTGTGAGGGCTTAAGAGGGCCTCCCTGGTACAGAGGCAGTTGACCACAGTGGTCCTTCCACATGCAGCACGTTGCCTAGCCACTAGGGGAACACGGCTCTGACAGAGACAGCATGGCTGCACCTGGGAACCTCGCTCAGGAGAGCAGCAGCCACCGTGGGTCAGGAGCTGCACGATCCCACAGGAGAGAAACCAAACAGAGCAGGCAGTGGTGCCAGGGCTGGGGAAGTGGAAGGAGACTGCGGGTGGGCATGGGGCCCTTTGCAGGGATGATGGTGGTGAACCCCGGGGTTTGAAATGCCACTGAGCAGTGTGGTTAAAACAGCTCATTTTACGTGAACTTCCCCTGGGCTGGGGTGGGAACCTCCCTGCGGCAGAGCTGCATCGCTGCCCTACGGCCTGCCGTGCTCAAGGCGCTCCTAGCAGGCTCCCAGCCTGCAGACCCACCTTCCGAATTCTGCCGGGACGCAGCGCCCCTGATGCGGAAAGCCTGGCGTGCCCTGCTGCGATCGCCGAAGCTCCAGCTCTTGGGCACCTTGCTTGGACTGTCCTCGAGGCTCTGGTCAGCGCTGGGTGACCGTCGGACCGTCTGGGCCTGGGGAGACCCTTTCCCCTTGGCGGCCACGCCTCGGGGGCTGGAGAAGACACGGTCTTTCAAACTGACCTTCTGGCTGCTCCCATGAGAACCGACAGACAGACAGACAGACACAGAAAAACAGCAAGAGAAGTCACTCCGGAAAGAACAAGGGCCATGTGTGCTCGCGACCAGTGCTGTCCCACAAGACCAGAGAAGACTCAGGTCCAAAGAACAACCAACCACACCGTGGCGAAGCCAGGGCGCGCAGGGAGGGGCCGCACAGGTATGGCCAGAGCGCCGTGCCAGGGAGGGGGGAGGTGTCCCCCCCCCGGCTCACATCACTCAGCAACCACCGCCAAGTGCCAGAGCCTTCTGCACACTGTCCTGCCATCCCCTCAAGGTGACACCCAGAGAGTGGCCAGGCGCCCAGGGAGGGGCTCGTCCCTGGGACCTTCAGTCTGCACGAGCCCTGCCTGCAGCTTTCCCGCAGGCCCTCCCAACGCTCCCAGGAGCAGCCCTCCCTCTCTATACAGCTTGCTGGGGCCAGGGGCCAGGCTCCTGCAGATGCTTGTCCAGTCACCAGCCTTCCTGATGGACCCTGGCACACCTGGCCTCCTCTGAGTGCCTGCCCTATCTTCCCCAGCTCACACCTGGACAACTATACATCTGCTCTGGGAAGACAGCTGGGACCAGGTGCCCCAGCTGGCCTTGGTATTCCCAGGCCTGCTCCCCCAAGCCCCAGCCCCAGGGCGGGCAGAGGCAGCTGCAAGGTATGAGGAAGTGGCCACTCCCAGAAAGTCCTTCCAGTCAGGCTGCTGTCTCCAGACTTGAAGGTCTTTGGGCCTCCCTAGACTTTGCATTTCTTGGTAACCATGGACACATGGCAGACACCCGTGTTCACGGGCTCCCGCGTCCCCCAGGCAGCAGGAGACATGGATGTCCATGATAGGGCTGCTCCAGGCAGACATGGCCTCCACTCTTCCTTCGGGGAACCATTGGGCCCTGGGTCCAGGACAGGCCCTCCCTCCTTCTGCTGTGACTCCGCATCGCCCAGAGGAGCGCAGGTCCTGGTGAATAGGACCTGCTCGTGCCAGCTATGGGAAGCCACAGGTTCCCAGGATGGCTTACAGCAGGGCCCTTGCTGAGCACAGCAATCAAGGAGGCCTGACGAAATTCAGAGGCCTCCAAGAGGAAGCCCCAATGCCCATGTCACTTGCTAGTGTCTCTGACTCCACCCCCACCACAGCGGCCCCACTGCTACACATGGCCAGAGAGACACATGAGGCAGGCAGCAGAGGTAACCACCTTGGAGGAAAGACAGTCCCAGAGCCCAGTCCACCCAGCAGGGAGACCACAGATAGAGCCCATGTCCCCTCCCCAACCCACCCCTGGACAGCAGACAACCTCAGAGAACACCTGTGCCTGCTCAAGAGTCTCTAAGTAAGAGGCAGAGAAAGAAATCCCTGGGCCTGTGCCCTGGACAGAGAGCCCACTAAGGGCAGAGGGCCGGGTGGTCTTGAGGCATCCTGTGTCCGATATCAGGAACCACTGGCATCTGGGTGCTCAGACACTGGCCCTGAGTCTGCCTCTGTTTCCCTGAGGCCAACACAGAAGGGAAGGGCCCAGGACCCAGATGACCTTCTGGTCTCCAGCCCAAGAGAGACCCCCACTGGTCCAGGGAGAGCCAGATGCTGGAGCCATTTATAAATGACCACCCCGGGCTGAGGGGCCACAGGAGCACCAAAGCCCATTGGGCACCCAGACTTGTCCTCAGGAGGATTCTGGCTTCTGGAATGTTCTTCTGCCTCCTATGGGCTCATCCTCCACATTCAACAAGCCACTTCAAGCTCAGGAAAACAGGCCCTCCAGGCCCCCTCTGGGCAGGCTCCAGGGCACGTGGGAAGCCCAGGTCTCCCTTCCCCTCCTCCCACTCCAGCCTCAGCAGTGATGGGAGGGGAAGGAACTGGCCCTTCCTCTTCAGTCACCAGTGAAGCGCGGTGCCCCACACCCTCCTGGGTTCCTGGGTCTTGAAGAGTCAGGAATGTGTCAAGGGTGCGCATCGAGTTTCTGCTTCCTCCGCGACGCAACACACAGATCCCTCCGCCACCCAGGCCACGCCTTGCCCAGAGAGGGGCTGCGCGGAGCTGCGGGAAGCGGGGCTGGGGGGGATTGCTGCAGGCCTCTCTAGGCAAGAACCCCAGCGCGACCTCCTTCCCACAGTCCCTTCCTCCCCGCCAAGTCAGAGCCAGCAGGCTCTCCAGACCCACGAAGGCAGAGCTCAGGGAAGGAAGGAGTCTCCCTCCCCAGCTCTCAGCCTTGCTTCCACCTGAGGCCTGTGGGCGAGGTGCTGGAGGAAGGGACAGTGGGTTTGACACTTGGGGGACACTTGGTCCCCACCCAGCTTCCCTCAACTTGGGCAGGAGGGTAGCCAAGAATCTTGAGACTCTGCCTCCCCTCCCAAGCCAGGACAAAGGAAGAGCTCCCTCCACCTGCCCTGCAAGACTGCCCACGGCCAGGGCCCCCTCTTGTGTCAAGGCTTGGTGCTTTGGCATTTACAGGGCAGGAAGAACCTGGGAGAGAGAACAAGGCCAGCCTGTCCCTGCCTGTCACCCTCTTCTCGGTGAGATTCAAGTGGGAACCAGTGGCAAGATGGCCCTTGTCTGGTCAGCACACAGGGGTCCAGCTCAGCAATGCAGTTAGCGGGCATCCACAGAGAACTACCCAGCCTGCATCTGGACAGAGGATGCCCAGGGAGGGCAGGTGGCATTCTGTGAGAACACACACAGCAGAGCAGAGCTTGGAGGGGCTCCTGCTGCCCACACTTCCAAACTCTCCTGGTTCCCAAGCAGCCTGACTTCAGCCCCTGCCCCAAGGGTCCACCTGTGGCCAGAAGCGCTCTGGACACAGACACTCTGGGCAAGCAGGAGTGCTTCAGCCAGGGCGGAGCAGGCCGCCTCCCTCAGCAGCCCTTCCTGGGGCTGTGGCAGCCTCCCCCACAAGCGCCCACCTCCAGAACACACAGGCAGCAGAGGGGCCCTGTGGGGCAGGGTGGGGCGACCCTGCAGCCTCTCCCGGTGGAGAAGGATCCGGAGCATGCACGGATGCAGATGCACAAGCATGCTGCCCGGCACCGACCGACCTCATGCACAGGACAAGGTGGACTCCCACCGGTGGGCACCTCACAGCTGCCTGCTGGTAGCTGGGCTGCACCAGCCAGGAAGGGGACGGGTAGGAGAGGAAGACCAGGGGCAAGGGGCCCCCAGAGCAAGCAGGACAGATGCCTTCACACACCCAACAGCAGACAGGGACAGGAAAGGTGTGGTCAAGGTGCAGGGAGGGGCCTTTCACGGTCCTGTTTCCAGTCTGCCCTAACCCAGACCTGTAAGTCAGAAGGGGGAGCCAGGGCCTCTGTCTCTGGGGTGGGGTGTCACACAGTAGCTGCCTCCCCCAGCAGGGCGCTAAGGATGGGCCTCAGTGCCTAGTAGAGGTGCTAGACTGACCAGCCAGAGGAAACTCGCCCAGGGCAGGAACTGTTTCCAAGGCAACAGCCCTCGGGCAGGGCGGGGTCAGTAAGGCGGAAGGAGGCGCCTGCGCTCGCTCTGGGTCTGTGGCCCCAGGGAGCGGGCAGAATTGGGCCGGCGCCGGCCCGCTTGTCCGAACCTCTAATAAGCAGGGAGGGCAGGAGCGTGCAGCGGGGCACCAGTCCGTGCAGCATCGCGCGGTACCTAGAGTGTCCGGGGCAGCATCCACACAGGCACCCTCTGCACGGTCTGCCTTTACTGGAAATGAGGAGAGCAGAGTTAGTCCCGGGAGCGGCAACAGGACCCGGCGAGCAGGTACCCTGAGGCGCCCCGAGCACCCTGGGGCGGTTCTGGGCTCGCAGACCCCCAGCTGCAGGGGGAGTTTGCGTCTGAGCAAGGAGAGCGAAAGGGATTTGCTGGCGAAAGTCTCCCGCAGCCTGGAAAAGAGAATAGTCCCCTATTTTTGGAGAAAAATAATTCGTGGTTTTTTTTTTTTTCCTCCAAAAATACCTTTTCCTTCCAAAGCCAGAGTTTGAGCTCATGTCTTAAGAGATGTATTATTTTTTGCTATATTCATGCCAATAAAAAATAATACACGTGCTAAGATTTTTCAAAGAGCTGGTTCTGGATGGACACGATCCTGGAAGTGACCCCAGTGAAACATGCAGTCTAGGGAGGAAAAACGTGAGGTTCCCACAGGCCAGTCTGTCGCCCAGCTGGAAGTGGCCTCAGTTTACCCAGGAGGCAGTGGCTGCCCCTATCTGGAGGGAAGACAAGGAAAAGGGGACTCAGGGACACCTAGATTTAAAAGGACTTTCTTCACCGAGTCAGTTCATCTGGGACCTCACAAGTCGCCTCTGTGCGGAGGCCCTTTGCAGGCGGAGCTCTTCCAGCCTGCGGAGGGTCCTCAGTTCAACTTTCCCAACAACCTCCCCCATGCCCTTGGATTGATTTCTACCAACAAACGTTCAGGTGTTTAAATAAAAACGGAAACTATCCACCATTACAGAAATCCTTCCCTTTCTTCCAGGCCACTGCTTCCCCTTCACATCCAGGTCCCTCTGAGACAGCACCTTTGCACCTGGGGACCCCAGTGTTAACGACGGCCTCAAGTCAGAAGCGCACAAGCCCCAGGGGGAAAGCGCCCAGGCTTGTTCCCCTTTGCACATTTATTTAACACTGATGGTGGCCCTCTGTGTTGCCCATACACAACTCTCTCCACTTAGGCATGAAGGATGCAATTCACTAACTCGTAGGTGATTGGCTGGGGGCTTGCTCAAAGGGCACCTGCTGCCCAGACAGGCCAGGAGCCCCGGACCGTCTCCCAGCAAGATTCTGAGCAGGAAGGGCTTCTACCCAAGCCCTCACATGGGTTAGCTTCTAAGTAGAGAGGTGGCTGAGGCCCCCCAGTCACTCTGAGGATGGAGGGCCATGACTGGACTCCATGTGCTGGCCACCTGCTATAGGAGGATTGTCAGCAGAGCACCCAGTTATCTGGCCCCAGGTGGTACCCACAGTACCCCACCGCTCTCAGAAACCCTGCCAGCCTTCATTCCCAGTTGCACCCAAGCCTGCCAAGCAAGCAAAGCCCTGACCCCCTCTGCCCACTGTGGTCTTCAGGCCATAACACAAGGCTGCTGCCCAGGATCCTCAGGAGGCCTTTCCCACCCCATGGGGAAGGACGGCGAAGGAGGTTCCTGGCTCCCAGCACCCTTGTAAGTCCCCAGTTCTGAGCCCTTGGGCACTTGGCCCACGATGCACCTCCAGGCCCTGAGGCCCAGTGCTGGGGAGTGGAGAGTATGCTCAGCAGCTGCACACTCTGATGTTGTGGCCACTGAACACTGGGGACTCAGGAATTGTGCCCAGTGTCTTACACACAAGTCCTGTATAGACAGCAGGGTCTGAGGTCCCCCCCTCAGGGCCTTAGCTGTCCTGAGTAATACCCCTGCTGGGTGGGTGCTGAGGATCCCGACTCAGGCCAGAATGATGCTGTGCACTCCCCTGGGCCTGAGGATGGCACTAGCCCTTCCCTGCCCCCATTAGTCAAGTGGGGCTTTGCCCATCAGACCTCCAGTCCATAGGCAGGAGCAGCAAGCAAGACCACAGGAGTTCTGGGGCACCCTGGGGGCAGAGATGCCCACAGACACCGGCCAGGACCAGACAGGACAGACAGACACCACACACAGATGCCTCCACCTGGGAAGAAGGGGAGGCCCCCATGGCGAGGGGCAATGCTAGGGAACAGGGCTCCACAGGCATGGGGGCAGGAGGCAGTAAGGAAGGGGACAGGGCCACAGAGAATGGGGCAGAGCAGCACAGGCCAGAGCCCCCGCCTGCCCTGGCTCCCGACCCCCACCCCCAACAACCAGCCTAGTCTCGTGGGTCTCCTCAGGAGCCGAGGACCCCAAGAGATCAGGGTGTGCCACCATCGCCAGGCTAAGCACCCTGGGCTACCTGGACCAGGACTGGAGAGCATGGCTGATGCGGCCCAGGTCCTGGCAGGCAGGAGGAGAGGGGCACGGACTCCCACGGCAGAGCTGAGCCTGGGGCAGCAGAGATGTTGGGAGCCAAGCTCCCTGAGCATCTTGTGGGTCAGGCGCCCCTGCTTGTACCCAAGTAACAGGCTTCCTGAACACCTACTGTGGCCGCTAGAGGGGACTGTGGCTGCCCCAGGCAGGGGGACGGACACCACCCACCATGACCTGTCCAGCAGGAGGGCCTCCCAGGGAAGGGTGCCCTCATCCCCACAGCACCCAGGGGCCTTCCTGGTGCCTCCACCCCAGGGAGCCAGGTGCAGCGGCTGAGACCCTGGGGGTGCTTCCCGACAGAGGAGCCCCAAGTCAACTGCCCCAACGGAGCACTTACCAGGGGCGTCCCAGGAGGGCTGTTCAGCAGGCGCTGCCCTCGGGGAAGGGCGTGGGGAGGCACAGGCAGGCAGGGACCACCGACAGGCGGGGAGACAGAGGAGTGGCGGGACAGGGAGCAGGGAGCCACGGAACATACCAGAGAGCCAGGGGCTCCGTGGGTCCTCACCTGGAGTCCTGCTTTCAGGGCCAGCACCTCATCCCAAAAGACAGAGCAGACGAGAAAGGGGCCCAGAAGGGCAGTGACAGTGATTAAAAGCACTTGGGGACAGCAAGATTTTCCAGATGGGGCGGGAGAGGGAGAGAAAGAGAGACAGGCTGAGACGGGGAGAGCCCAAGCCACGGCAACAAGCGGGAGGTGGGGTGCCCAGGAGGCCCCAGGCCAGTCGCTCCCCGCCAGGGTCAGCCTCAGCCTCCACGGCTGCGCAGGGCTCCCCCTCCAGCCAATGCCCAGCCCCAGGGCAGTGGAGGGCAGTGTGGGAGAGGCCAGCCACAGCCACAGTGAGAACGGTGCCCTCTGGACGGCAGCCCAACGTGAACGGGGTGCCCTTCCTGTTTCACCCCCTTCTCGTCCCTGTTCTGTCAACAGCGCCAGCCACATACCAGCCAGCACCGCCGGGGGCCGACCCTCCTCCCCTCTGGCTCCAAGGGCAGCTTTCTCGGCCTCTTTGGGGGCTGTTAGGGGTTGTTGTCAGCGTTGCCCGTCTTTCCAATTCAGGGCACCACTGATTCCTCCCTCTTGTGGGGCTTAGAGGGTGAAGGGTCAGCACCTTTTCCAGGGGACAGAGAGGAGGGGTTTGGCCCAGTCCTGCCTTTCCCCCACTAGAGCAGCTCCTGGTCATCCGGCCAGCTGGATCACCCTGTGGTCCAGGAGGGCATGAAGGGGCCAGGCAGGTATCCATCCTAGTCACGGGGGCTGGGTGTCGGGTTTATTCTACAATGTGTGGACAGGACACTGAGTGTGGATGGGACACTGGGTGGGGATAGGGCACTGGTGTGGAAGGGCCACTGGGTGGGGACACACTCCAGCTCAGAGGAGCTCAGGAACGGGTGGACAGGGCACTGGGTGGGGATACAACCCGGCTCAGAGGAGCTGGGGACGTCACAGGGAGGCATGGTGGCTCCCGTGGTGTTCTGTGAAGTACTAGGAAACAGCAGCCAGTTCTGGCCTCTCTCTACCTCTGCAGCACTGGCCCCATGAGCCCTAACTTCCTGGCCAAATAGCCCCATAGTGGCCAGCAGAAGTCCAAAGGGAGGGAGCCAGGCTGAGCACCTGGATGCCCCTTGGCTACCTTGACCTCAGCAAAGAAAACCCAGTGAGGTCAGGGTCTCCAGCGAGGAGGTGAGAGATGGGGAGAGAGCAGCCCAGCCCAGCCTCTGCAGGACAGGAGGAACTGACTCCCACTTGCTCCAGACTGTCCATGGAGAAAGGTCCTCCGCAAGGCTGGACTTGAAGGCCCTCCCCCAGCTTCTGGCCTGGCTTCTCCTCCGTGCCTGGTCTAGAGTGGCAGGAGGGGCCACCCACTCTGAGTTTTCACCTGGGGCTCAGCTCAGACCAGCTGCAAATCTGGGCCGAGTGCTTGGAGGGAATAATCTATTAGAAAACCCTGCCTCAGGGTCCCCAGGAGGACTGGTAGGCTGGAGGCCCACCAGAGAAGCCCTTCAGGCCCACAGTGCTGCAGAGCACATCTGAAATCCTGGGAGAGGGCTGTGAACAAGGGGTGACTCAGGGTGGGCCAGGACACGCAGTCACGTGGTCGCACACAAAAGCACACACAGGGTCCCCCAGCAGCCCTTGCCCCAGGACACGCGGTGCACACAGAGGGAGCAAGGCCAGACGGTGCGCGCAGCAGACACGCCAGGCAGCTGGAGGCAGGAAGGCACTGACCTTGGAGAGGGCTCAGGCTGGGGCTCCTTCCTTCAAACAGAGAACAAGAGAGTTAGCAGTTGCCCCCTCGGACTGGCCCCCACAGAGCACCTGTGGCCCAGGGTGGGGACCTGCACCCACCCAAGGGCCTCCCCCATGGCCCAGGCCCCATCCTCCCACAGGTTGGAGGCACAGAGATGCTGCCCTCCTGAGAGTACCTGCCCTGCGAGAGAGCAGTGCCTGGGGACCAGGGGAGGGTCAGAGGGAGCAGGGACCCCAAGGGGCCCGCCACCTTCCCACCCAGAGTGCACTTCCATTGGGCATTCACAGAGCTCCAAAAGAAAATCTTTGGGAAGAAAGCTCCTAATGCCATTTTTCTTTCATGTAGTTTTCTAGCGGTGGGTTGAACTGGCCAGAGATGTGGCCAGTTGACCCCAGGTCCTGCTCCCAAGGCCCTCTGGCTCATGGTGGTTCAATCTGGGCTGGATGTGTCTGCTGGTAATGTTAGTTGTAAACAGAACATTAGACCAGTGGCTCTGGTGTCCCCCCACTGAGCTCAGAGGCTCGGGGGTGACCCCCCAGAGCACTCAGGCCAGTCTCCTGCAGTATTGGGGCTCCTCTGTGCACTTCCAAGCAGCCTGCACAGCTGGTGCAGATGCCACAACGTGGGCCTGGCGAGCAGCTGCAAAGGAAGAGGGTGTGGCCAGGCTCCTGCCTGGCCAGGGAGAGCACCTTGGGGGCCTTTGTACCCCAGGAACAACGTGCCTCACAGGAGGCCCAGTCCTGGGGCACGCTAAAGCTCAGGTACCTGGAGCAGGCTGAAGGTGCTGGGCTCCACAGGCAGGCCCCAGCCCCCGGCCAGGAGCTCAAGTCACCCCTGCACTTCCTGAGGATACTGCAACAAATTGCCTCAAACCTGACTTTAAACAATAGACATTTCCTCTCTTGGTCCTGGAGGCCACAGACTCAAGGCCAAGGTGCCAGGGGCAGGGCACCTTCCCTGTGTGCAGGCGAGAAACCTTGCTGCCTCTTCCAGCTCCGGGCCCTTTGTCCCTCGGCTCCTGGCTTATCTCTCCACCCCTGCCTCTGGCTCCCCCAGAGCTCTCTTCTGTGCCCTGTGTCTCCTGTCTTTCTGAAGGATAGCTATGCTTGAGCTGAGGCTCACTGGACAACCTCACCTCAGGACCCTTAACTGATGACCTCCACAAAGAACCTCCTCCAAGAGGAGTCACACTCACAGGCTCTGGGCCAGGATCCTACTGGGGGTGCTCCCAGAAGTCCCCATCCACCTAGGTCCTCAGTGCACTCGCCCCATCCCCACCTTGAGGTCTCTGCTCAGTGCAGTGCCAACTCCCATCTAAAATGTCATCTAAATGCCACTAGCATAGGAAGTCCCAAGTCTCAACTAAAACCACTTAAGCCACGTAGGCAAGGCTCCTGTGAGCCATCTGATGGCCGAATGAGGCTCCTGCTTAAAAGACACAGTGGAGAGACAGCAAGAGCAGACATCTCGGTTCCAGAAGGAGAAGTAACGGAGGTCCCTGCACCCAAGGTGAAAGTGTGACTGGTAATGTCCGGCCTTCGAGCTCTGAAAACCATCGTCTCCCCCAGCTCTGGGAGGTCCCTGTTCTGAAGGGCAGCTGGGGTTTGCAGCTGGGCAACTGCAGCAGCCGCACTCCTGCCGGACGATCCAGCAGCCACAGCCTCTGTTCCTTTCATGGGTGCTGGCAGTGCTCTTCTGGCTCCTCTCAGGGCTGAAAGACAGGGCTCCTTCCTGGCTTCCTGTGGGTCCACGAGCCACACGCCCACTCTCCTTACAGGTTGTCCAGCCTCACCTGCGGGCTTTGCTCTGGGAAAGCTTGCCCAGAGTGCCTCCTGATTTATGAGGCTTGCTCCCTGGATAGCTGGGAACTCCCAAATCTTCAGGTTCTGGCTTCTCTTAGCAGCACCCCCTGGACGTCTCTTCTCCAGCCTCACTGTTGTTAGTACAGAGCAGCCAGGCGGCACTTCCACATTTGGCTAGGAACCCTCTTTGGCCAAGTCCCCAAGTTCATCACTGATTCTGCTTCCACAGAAAAGAAGACCCAGCCACGCCTCTGCCACCCTGCAGTGAGAACCAGCTTTCCTTGGTTTGCAGGAACTCATCCTTTGCTCCCTTCCTTCTGAGCAGCACCAGAAGCACTGCAGGCAGTCAGAATTCTGGCAACATCCATTTGTATGTAACAATCTACAAGTAATTGCTCAATGACACAAAGTTTCTCCTAAGTTGCTCACCAGAACCACCTTCAGCACAGCTTCCACCCACCACCTTCAGGGAGCAGGGCCTGCTCTACTGCACCTAGGACCTCTTCCCCGTCACCTACACTCTCTGCTAAACCTCAGAGCCCCCTGCCCCTCACCTGTCCCCTGCACTGTACCTCAGAGCCCCCTGCCCCTCACCTGCCTGCTCTGGTGCACAGCAGAGCCCCCCAGGTTTGTGGAGCTGCCATAACAGAATGCACAATGGTGGCTGAATATTGGAAGCCACCCTCTCATGCCTGCGAGGTTAGAAGCCTGACGCTGAGGTTGGCAGCTGTACTCTCCAAGGAAGGCTCTACGGGGGTCCCTGCTGCCTCTCCAGCTCCGGTGGCTCTGGGTATTCTTGTCTTATGGCAGCATCACCTCAGCCTCTGCCCACGTCTGCCCCTCTCTGTGTCCTCAAATATCCCCCTTGTGATCAGGACATACCACTGGAGTCTGGGCCCCCTTGGCCAACCCAGGTGTGATGCAGATGCTAAGGATCGTATTTACAGGACCAAAAGCATGAACCCACCTCTGCACAGCAGAGGCTGCCACAGACACACCACCACCCCACTGCCCTGCTGAGGACAGACGGCGCTGGCCTGCACACAGGCCCTCAGCACACCAGTGATGTGCCAGAGCACTGCAAGAAGTGAGCAGCAGAACTTGTGATTAAAGGTGCCACCACCTGGGTGCCGAGCACAGCCATGAACAGAGTCATGCACGCTCCACACTTCACCCTGTATCCCTCCCATTATGCCCACCCATCTTCTCCGGGACAGGAGCTGAGTAGGTCAGCAGAAGCAGAAAGCACCAATATCACAAGACCCATGGCCAAGCACATCCCAGGAGGCTTCCTGCCACTCGCCAGGGCAGCTGGGACCCTCAGGAGGCCTAAGCTGCCCGTCCTGCCCCACAGCTCCAGCCCCTGCCTGGGAGACCTGCAGCTGACCTGAAGGTGAGTCCCGATTTGCTTTTGAGGTTCCTCAGCAGCTCCAGCTGGTTGAGAGGTGGGATGAGTCTGAGCAGGAGAGGAGATGGGAGTGAGTTTCCTGTCCACACTGGCCTCCAGGAAGGCTCAACCCTGCACCCCGAACAGGTGCAAATGCCAGAGATGTGGGGTGTGGCCAGATCTCCAAGGGCTCTGTGTCTCCACCTCTCTAGGCCCCAGTACTACCTCCACTCTGTAGCTGTCCCTGCGGCCTCGTGACCTGGAGATGGGCAGTGCCCAACATGAACAGCAGAGGGGAAGGTGCCAGGCTGTCTGTGAGAGTCCAGCACTGCAGCGTGGAGGGGTCAAGAGAACAGGCCCAGGCGAGAGTCCTCCTGCTCACCCTCCCACCAGGGGCAGCCGGCTGCAAGTCTGCACCCCAGCACATTCGGGCCCTCAAGTCCTGCTGCAGAGACGTTCCCTGTGGAAGCTGGGGCAGGGCAGGAGCCAAGGCCACTGCAGGGCTTTCCTGGTCAGAGAAGCTCATCTCCAGGTCTGAAGATGAGTGGCCTGGACAGCCGGAGGACAAGCCCTGGGAACTTTTGCAAGTGACCCGGTTCTGCTCCCCTCTCCCCAGATCTGGCCACACACAGCCCAACAGCCTCGCGCCAGCCCTACATCCAGCCACTCCTGAGCCCTGCAACAACCAGGGGAGGTCCTGCAGACTGACCGGGGAAAATGCACTCAGGCCTGGGAAGCGGGGCTCCTCCCCGCATCTGGGTGACCCTCTCCCTCTGCACCCACCTCAGCTGCCTGGCTCTTGGCCTCCGACACCCCTCACTCCTGGCCTAACTCAGCTCCACCCTGATCTTGACACCCTCACTCTGCAGAGCCTTCGCTGCCCCCTCAGCCCCCAGTTCCATGGAGCCCCGACAAAGCTCCGAGACCCCGGCCCCGAACCCTCACCCCCTTCTCACCTCTGTCCTCCTGGTCCTCAGTGGCAGAGCAGGACTAACCTCCCTTGCCCAGCCCTCACCCAGTCTGACACCCACCTGGCCTCAGTGTCTGCTGGGGACACCCTTCCAGCACCTCCTGGTGGCTCTGCCAACCCCCACCCAGACCCTCCCACCACTGCCACCTGCTCTGCCCAGCCCCACCCGAGTGTGTCCTCCAGATGGGCCCACATCCTTGCCTCTCTCACTAAGTGACTCCCCTGGCCCCAAAGCCAAAGGACAATTGATCCTACTGGCCCAACCAGTCACCCCCTCATTTCACATCTGCCCGGCTCCTCCACGCAGAGATCCTCCCCTGCTCAACCTTCAACAGACACTGCCATCCCTACAACCCCTGTACCCCCAACAGAGCCAGGCCCTGGAGGGGTGGTCCTGCGAACTCTTCCCCTGCCTGCCCCCCCCCAGGCTACCAATGCCCAGTGGCTCAGCCCAAACCTGGGGCCACCAACCAGGTGAGGCGGCAGGGTGCAGAGTCTGTCCACAGGGACCCAGCTGGCCTCCCCACCCCTCCCTGACTACCCCGCTGATGCCTGGAGCAGGGAGCCGGGACCACTGTGCCCTGGCCCCCACACATGCAGGCTCAGATAAGAGAGGAGACACCATCTTGGAGCCCGAGGTGTCTTGCCTGGGACACCAGGGGCAGGGCACCAGGTAGGCAGGTGGAGCCAGGCAGCGCCCAGGGCGGCTGGGAGCAGTCATGAAGGATGAGGGCACTGCGGGCTAGGGAGGGGTGGGGGCGCCCCAGAGAGAACATGGGCTGGCCAAGGGCCTCCAGCCTTCGGGGACACCCCATCCAGCCAGGCCAGGGCTCTGCAGACGCTGGTGCATTTTACTTCTGGGTGCAGTTCTGGCTAGACAAGGGCCGAGGGAGACATAACACCGTCACTCCAGGGAACAAGGAGCCCAGGGGTCCAGGAAGAGGACACTGGGGGTAATGCCCATGGGGCCTGACCCACCTCTGCCCAGCACAGCAGCCCCACTCTTTAAGCTTGACCTCCTCACCCAACCCCACGCCTGGGCAGGCCTCTTTCCACAGAGGGGATTTGGGCCCACTGACCAGGCCCCTGCTGGCCTCTGGAGAGGGGCTGGACAGGGACGTGGTTTCATCCAGCCCAGGCCCACACACTTGTCAGGGGAGGGCCCTTGCACTGGCACCGTATGTGAGGAGGAGCTTCCTGTGGTCACTCCACAGCACCCCACAGGGGCCAAGACTCAGCCAGGGTCATCAGGTGTGGGCACACCGATCCAGTAGGGAGGCTCCCAGGCCTTGGACTCCACCCTGCAACTGAGAGGCTCCGGGAGGCAGGGAGAGCCCAGAGGCAGGCTGCCAGGGCAAGTGCCCTGGTGTGCGTGGCCTCCCCTGCCTGGGGTTCTGTCTGGGATACGCTCTTGGCCCTGACACAGTCCCCAAGCCACACGGTGGCCCCACATCCACAACTCTGTTCACCAGCAGGGCTGTGGGGTGCAGGTGGGGGCAGGGACGGGGGACCACAGCTATGAGACAAGGCACAAAGCAGAACAAGAACGAAAGATGGCCAGGGACACAGGGGCCAGCAACAGGAAGCAGCTCCAAGGGGGCAGGGCGAGGGGTGAGGGGTGGGCTGGGCTCCAGGCAGGGAGGGCCACAGAGAGCAAGACCTGAGGGTGTCTGCGTGAGGACCCCGCCCGGGGCTGGCCGGGCAGACTGGAGGGAGGCATCACACACACAGCTCCGCCATGCAGTTCCTACCTGGAGGCCCCGTAGGTTTGAGTTTGTGAGCTTTCAAGTTTCCACACACACAGGGGAAAGGAACCGAAACGTGGGAGAGAACGGGGTAAGAAAAAGAAAATAAAAACAAAAAAAAAAAATAGTCGGGGAAGAGGGGGGACAACAGAACAGAGAGAATTAGCACAAGGCCCAGCCCCGCCGATGCCCGGCCCAGGCATGGCGCACTGTCGCTGCATGCGTGCGGTCCAGGGCGCAGGCTCCCGGGCTCAGCTCCAGAGGCACCAGCGGGTGGATGTGAGGGCAGGGCCGGGCCACCCATGGCAGCAGGGCCCTCAGGTAAGCCTCGCTTCAGATCCCCACCAGGCTCTCTGCACCCACCCCGGTGGGCAGGGTGGGCAGAAACACCTCGGAGCAGGTGAGAAAGCTGGAAGGACCCCATCCCGCCGGATGGCCCTCGGGGCAGAGGGACTTAGCCAGCAGCACCCAGCTGCACAGACGCTGTACGCTCCCAGAACCTCTCACCCAGACCTCAACCCCAGCAAGAGCCCAGCACAGACAGATCCTACCCTGACAGCTGACCAGCAGGCCAAGGGGCCCATCTGCCTCCTTCCCAGGCCTGGGTGTCCTGTGCTCTGCCCCGTTGGGGGCACCTGGGACCCCTGGAGAGTGTGGTCTCCTAGCCCAAGTGCCCTCCTGTGGTCTGGGGGTCTCTCCCCTCCCCCACACAGGACCCCTGCTCCTTGCTGGGGGTCACCATCACCCTCCAGATCTTGCAGCTGGGGCCTACTGGCCATGGAAGACTCTGCACCCAGCACTGTGGTCAACACTCAGCTGGTGGTACTGGGGACACATAGCAGAGGACAGAAAGCAAAGGGGCGGGTGAGGTGCAAAACAAAAGCCGAGACGCGGAAACAAGGAACCAAATAAATGCTTTGAAATAAACCACACACGGTTCTTTTTTGAAAAATGCATACATTTTAAAGAAAAAGAGAAATAAAAATCCGTCAAAATAATGAGCAACAGAAAATGGGGCTTAAGAACAGACAGAAATCAAAACCAGCCCAGCACGCGGGGCAGGGCTGGCGCGGGTACCTGTACATGGGCACGGTGACGGTGCGCTCGTAGTACTGCCAGGTGGAGTGCAGGTCCGTGCGGGACAGGTTGGTGGCGTAGAACCTCCAAGCCGACTGCGGGGGCAAGGCCAGCTCAGCGGCTCCGCTCTGGCCAGGCCGCCCGCCCCACCCGCCTCCGTCCGCCCTCCTAGACAGGGGGACGGTGCGGGCCCAGGCTGTCCTGCCCTCCTGAGCCGATGGGCGTGACCTGCAGTGTCTCACCCCAGGGACCAGGAAGGCGCACTGAGCGCTAGGCTGGGCCTGTCCTCCAGGCTGACCTCTGCCTAGGGGTGTGCTCCCTGCACTTCCTCCTATGGTGGCACCCAGTGTGACCTGCTGGTCCCCGCAGCTGCTTCACCTTCCGGGGGCCACAGTACATGCCTGCTCCTGTCCCCTCCCCAGGACCCACAGCCACCGATTCCCACTCCTTCTGGACATTGCCTCGTGTGAGAACCACACTCTGGCCTTCCCCATATGGTTTCGGTTGCTGAGTGAAACGTCCTCAGGTGGCCTCTGTTGAGGCCCAGGCTCTGCTCCTTTTCTTTCTTTCTTTATTCTTTAATATTTATTTTTTAGTTCTAGTTGGACACAATACCTTTATTTTATTTATTTATTTTTATGCGGTGCTGAGGTTCGAACCCAGGGCCTCACACGTGCCAAGCAAGTGCTCTACCGCTGAGCCCCAGCCCCAGCCCCTGAGTACTGTTCCTTTTTGATGGCTGAACAGTATTCTACTGTGTGGAAGCACCACTTCCTGACCACCCGCTTGTCCACTGACAGGTTTGTCTGCCCCCGGGGCTACTGTAAACTGCTTCTGTGCACATCTGTGCACTTGCTTTAGGCACGCCACCTGCTGACTCAGTTCTCCTGGCCAGTGGCTAGAAGTAGCTTGCAGGGTGAGCCACAGCTTTCTGCCAAGCTTCCAGGCAGCCTGGAGTGGCTCTGTGCATCCCGCCAGCAGAGGGCAAGGGCCGCCTCCTCCCACCCGCACTCAGCCTCCCCTGTGGGCGGGGAGTGGCCCCGTACGGGCAAGGCCTGCACCTTCCTGGCCACCAGCAACCTGGCTTGCTGGCCGTCCACTCATCCTCTTGGAAATCCTCTGCTCGTGACCCTCTGGGCTTCGAACCTGCTGTGTCCAGTGGATGCTGGGCCCTGGGCTGCGGTCTCCCGCTCTCCCTACCCAGCACACAGCTTCCAGGGGCCTCTGGCCCTTCCCTGCTTTGCCACTGTGTTGCAGGAAGCACAGGCCAGGGGGTGTGACTGTCCCACAGACTTGCGGTGGCCTTGGCTCCTGCGTTCAGGTTTCTGATGACCATTCCACTGATCTTTGTACATAGTGTGAGGTAAGTGACAAGTTCCATTCTTTTAAAATGGATTTTTGAAAAATCAGCCGGGGATACAGCTAAGTGGCGGAGCACTCGGCCAGCACATGCAAGGCCCAGGCTCAAGCCCAGCACTGCAAAAGCAAGGCCCAGCCCCAGGATACCAGCTGTCCTGGTGGCATGTGCCAGGACTCTTCCTGCCCAGGTGGACATGGGGCTCTGGCTGGAGATCAGCCCCTCAGACAGAGGGTCGGCGACGGACTGCTCCGCTGACCTGTGTGTCCCCACCAGGGCAGAGTGCTTCCCGCCGCAGCAGCGAGTCTGGCTGTCCTGCTTCCAGCCTGATGGGGCTGGCATCCACAGCAATTCCACCTGAGCCTCAAGACCAGCCTCTCCAGCTCCAGACAGGGCCCTGGGCTCAGGGCAGGGATGCCACTGAGTCCGTGACCAGTCTCACCAAGACCAACCCACGGGACTGTCTCCAGCCACAGACGTGGTGCGCCCTTCACTTAGCACTTGACACTGCCCAGCGAACCAGCACCGTGGGCGAAGACACCGGGACAGCGGCCCAGCGGGCTGGCTTCCGGAGGAGCAGCCCCTGTGCCTCGGGCACAAAGTGCCTGGTCTCCTCCAGAGCTTCCCCAGGGTGTCTCCTCCCTGGGAGCTGGAGTCACCAGGTCACGCACCTCTCAGAGGGCTGTGCTCCCTGTCCCCACAACTGGTCAGCTTCCCCCAGAGGAAGAACCCTCTGACCCGCTGCTCTGCCAGGGCCTCCATCCTGGCCCACTCATCAGACCCTGGGAACAGCCCGGCGTCGTGGGGAGCCCTGATAGCCAAGCCTGAGAGGTGAGTGCCCTCTCACCTCTCACACCCGGGGGTACAGTGCATGGCACTGCCCTGTGCTGGCACGGGGTTCTCTAGCTGCTAAAGTGACCTCCAGGAGCAGCAGGTGGGGGCTGCTTACTCTGCCCTGAGCGACCTCTGAGCCCCTGTGCACATCCGCTGTGCCAAGTGTCACAGGCAGCGGCTGACTCCGGGTGTCTGTTCTTCTTTTGCAATTACAAACAAAATGGCCATGTGGAGTTTTCAAGGTAAAAGTTGGGCGCACGCACGCACGCGCGCACACACACACACACGTAAAAGCAGGCTGGACCAAGAGAGCCACATCTACAGAAGGAAGCAGCAGAGGCAGGCCACGCCTGGCCGGCCATAAGCTCCCGTCACCCCAAGGGTCCAGCAGGAACCTCTGCCCTTCTGCCCACACATCCAGGTGGCCGCCACACCCACCTGCCCCTGCGTGGTGGGATGGGACACGCCGCGCACAGCTCAGGCTCAGAGGTGCACAGACACCGCCGGGACACCATCTGCCACCTGAGTCACGACCCACCAAGCATGGGCCCCACAGCTGCAGAACAGTGCCTGGGACAGCCTGGCCTGGCAGAGCACCCCCAGGACAGGGCCTTGGGCTGTGCAGCCTCAGGCACTGACCCGTTTCACACTGGCCCAGGCCACCTTGTTGCCCCGCAGGTTCCTGCAGAGACAGGGACTGTGGTCCTGTCCTGGGGACAGCCACCCCCAGGCTCGCCCTGAGCAGGCTCCACTCGGCACCAGTAGGGCCAGAACAGGGGCTGTCCCTAGTCCCCAAGGTGGGAGGCTGAGACCCACCTGGATCAAGCCCGCGGCCGGGTTCCGCCTCTTCTCAAAGTGCTTCTGCCGATGCTGTTCTTGCACTTTCAGGGCAAAGCCAGACCCCAGAATGCCCTGCAAGTCACCAGGGTCAGAACAGGCCTGTGGGCCTACAGCCCCAACCCACGGCCGACACCCAGGGACCCCGCTGCTCCCGCCTGCCCACAGAGTCCCACCCTCCATCTCCCAACCCCAAACCAGCTGGAGGCCAGGCCGGGCCAGCCTTCTGATTTGGGGCCAAGGAACACGCTGGCCGACAGGAGGCACAGCATGCCCACACCAAAGCCAAAGGTCAGCCCCTGCCACTGGCCACTGCCCACCCTGGTGCTGTGAAGGCTCAGCAGAGCACCCACCCCTCTGCCTGGGGTGGGCCTGGAGCCCAGGGAGCCCTGACAGGGGAGCTGTCACCATGCTGCCGTGCTGTGGGTCCCAAGGGCCTCTCTATCCAGGTGTCTGCACAGAAGTCACAGTGACCATAAGAGCTGGTCAAAGTCACAGCTTGGGACCCCGGAGCGCACGGCAGGGAGGCTGCCAGCTCAGGGTCACGGGGTCCAGGGCAGCCTCCACTGCAGCCCGGGTGAGGTCCCCACAGGGTGGCCTGTTGTCAAGGTCCTGGGGACCTGGCCCCTCCCCACAGGAAGACGGGAGGTTTACCGCAGGAAGGGCGAAGAAGGAGACCCCGATGAGGGTGAAGGTTGCTGCCAGGAGCCTCCCGTTCCAGGTCTGGGGGTACTTGTCCCCGTAGCCAATGGTGGTCAGGGTGATCTGCGGGCAGGGGCTGGGTCAGTCCACCAGGCAGGCAGTGGCTGCCATGGAGGCCCCCACCCTGGGCTACTGAGCACTTGGGGACTCACCCAAAGGCTCCTTTACACCCCTGGGGGACTACTCAGAACCAGCTGGACCAACAAGGGGCCTTTGCTGCCTCGGCACCCACCCAGTAAGGCCCGGGCAGCGGGAATGGCCCCTCATGACACACCCTGAGGGAAGCCTGGTGACCAAGGCCAGTGCAGGAGGTGCTTGCAGGTAACCTGACAACCCCGCCACCAGGACCACAGGGGCCAACAGAGGACATCCCTATCTGGAACCAGGGGTGGCCCCTCCCACCCTAAGAGGGTGGCGCCTTCACGGGGCCCAGGGGCCCAGACTCCAGGCATCTGCCCCAGGCAAAAGAGCAAACTGGGCAGTCTGAGGTCAGGGACAGCAGCCCAGGTGGCCAAGGAGGCTGTGGCCCTGGTGAGGGTGCAGAGCAGTGAGAGCAAGCGCACCTCACAGCCAGCTGTAGGACCTGCAGAGAAGGTTCTGGACACCAAGGGCACTGGGAAACTGGTGCAGGGAACAGGTGGGCCAGGGGGACACTGTCCACCACAAACCTGCCCAGTTGAGGCTTTGCCACAGACTTGGGCCTCGCGTGCAGCTTTTTAACATACCAAGACTTATTTTGGAAGACACAAAACACTAATTTATTGCCCCTCCCCAAAAACGTGGCTACGTGACAGTGAAAGGTGACAGAAAAGCACGAGTGGAGGGACAGACGGAAAGAGGCCGGGGGCTGTGGACAGTGCGGAACAGCAGTCTGGGCACCAGAGCAGCCGTGGGACCAGGACGGTGGCCCTGGGGAGGGGTGGCCATGCAAGCAGGACCACCATCCCCAGGGTCACACCACCCTGCACAGGGCAGCCTGGAAGGCTGAGCCAGGGAGGCCACAGAGAGCAGCGTCCCTTTCACCATGGCGGGCAGGGCCAGGTTGGGAGTCCAGAAAGGGGTGTCCTGGGACAGTGCACCTGACCCTGGGAGGCAAGCCTCCAGCCCTACCCCAAATGGATGAAAGGTCATGGGTTTGGCCCCCGATCTGGGAGCCTCAAGACAGCCCCACCTGTGCAGGGCTCTCAGAACCCCCATCCTCTCTCCTCCCACGCACCCCGGCACACAGGTAAAGAGCAGGTGAGCTGTCAGTGGGCAGAGAGCCCAGCTCCTCCCAGTGCTGGTGCATGCACACACACACACACACACACACACACACACACGACTCATGCACATACATACACACATTACACAAGCACATGTGCATACACAAGCACACACATGCACACACATTACACAGGTGAATGCATGCACATGTATACACACATACAAACACATACACACTGCACACATACACACATTACACTCATATACGTGCACACATACACATCACTTACATATATGCTGCACACATATGCTACACATGTATATCTGCACACACACAACACACACTGCACATGCACACAAACACACTCATTACACACTCATTATACACCTGTGCACACACAGTGTAAACATGTATGTTATACACATGCACATGCTCACATATGAATGTACATACACACGTGCACCCACACACACACATACATACACACCACACACATATGTGCACATGTGCATACACATGTGCACATACGCACACATACGCGTGTGTGCAAGTGCACACGCCAGCACATCCACAGCCACCCCCAACCTTTGCCACCACCTCCACAGGCTGTCCATGGGCAGCCACAGGTGGCCCCCAAGAGATGTGGCCAGCCTACTCTTCAAGGGTAGGTGGGTCTCCCCTGCAGACCCTGAGGGTAGGCGCAGCCTCTGGACTGGGCAGGAGGATGTGAGGAGGTAGTAGTGCTCCCTCAGGGAAGCAACGCTGACCCAAGGTCCACAGGCTGGGACTCACCAGGCCCCACCAGAGTGCGTCTGCGTAGGTGTCGAAGTGGTCATTCTCACCCTTCTCTGCCAGGTATACCAGGAATGAGGCCAGGATAAGGCAGAGAAAGCCAATGTACCAGGCAGTCACCAGCTCCTGCAGGGAAGACGGGCCACATCACTGCAGTGCTCAGCTAGCCTGGCCAGGGTCCAGCCCAGAAGCCTACTAGTCTCTGCATCTCCAGAGTTTGGGGTTGACCCCCAAGGCAGACCACACTGCCCCTGCAGGGGTTGGCCGGAGGGTTACGACCCAGATGGGAGGGGACATGGTTGTGCAATGCTGTTGAGCTGGGCCCTCCATCTGCACAGGGAGACCTGGAAGAACAGCAGCCCTGGCCAGGGGGCTAGCACTCACCCAGGTCTTGGGTGTCTGCCAACACAGGCAGGCCTGGAGAAAGCCCTCCAGACAGCTCCACAGGGGAGGCTGGCCCACCCAGCTGCATCTCCCCACCCAACACTCAGGGAGGAAGCAGGGGCCAGGCAATAGGGAGCCCACCTCCCCCAGGGCCTGACTCCTGCCCCTCAGCTGTCACGGCCCCGCAGGGCTCTGGCAGGTAGGAAGACAGGAAGGGACCACTTAGGCAAATAACCCAGCCACACAAGTTTACATTACAGCACAATCTGGCAGGACGGGGTCTTGGCCACTAGGGGCCTCAGGCCCCAGAAACACAGGCACGTGGCTGCAGCCACCCCACAGGTCCCCGAGACAGCAGCCACGCAAGCCACAGCTGAAACAGCCAGCCGGCAGGTGACTCCAGCCGTGTATCGATCCAGGCGCTCAAAACCAGGAAATGAGACACCACCACAGAGCCAGCGGCTCCAGGAGGGGCCCAGCCGACTGGCCATGCAGGAAAGCAGCTTTCCGGGGGCAGATGACAAAATCAGGTAGAGTCACAGAGAGAAACCCCAAGATGGAAGGGGAGGGGGCTGCTCCACACCTGAGCAGCCCCGCCCTTGGCCCTTCCTCCCAGGCCAGGAGCCCTGCAGCGGGCCCAGGGCAGAGGGACCAGGAAGGACTCAGGTGGCAGCGGCCTTGGGGCTGGCTGGGCCCTGCAGCCCGGGTCACTCACCTTGCTGTGGGCGTAGACCACAGAGCCCAGCAGTTTCCAGGTGCCCCCCCTCCGGTCCATGCGGATCATGCGCAGGATCTGCAGGAAGCGCAGGCTCCGGAGCGCAGACGTGGCGAAGACATTGCCCTGCGAGCCCGCGGCCAGGACGGCAATGGAGGCGATGAGCACCATGATGTCTGCAGAGACGGCAAGGTCACGGCCTCGCCTGACCCCGAAGGGGCAGGTGGACACGGCCTCCCTCAGAGCCACTGCCCCCACACCGAAGGGACAAGTGGACACGGCCTCCCTCAGAGCCACCGCCCCCACCCTGAAGGGACAGGTGGACACGGCCTCCCTCAGAGCCACCGCCCCCACCCTGAAGGGACAGATGGACATGGCGGTGCATGCTGAGCCTCGCAAGAATCTGGGAAGCGCCAGGCCCTGGGATGGGCAGTTACCACTGTGCACCCTGCCTGTGGGGTCTGGGGCAGGCTGCCTGGCTCCCGTCCCTCCCCTGACACCCTGCCCACGCCAATCATGGGCTCTACCCATGGGGAGAAGAAGCTGCCAGAAGAGGCTGGTCCTGGCCTCTGGCCAGCCTGCTGCAGCCAGCATGGACACCAGCTCCTTCCAGGCCAACCCCTGTGCCCCACCCCACCGACCCCACCCCATGAGCCTCACCAATCACACAGAAAGGCTTCCGGGCGAACTTGAGTCGCCCCCGCCAGCCGCGGTACCGGCAGCAGCAGCCGGCGGCCCAGATGCGCACGAAGTACTCCACTCCAAACACCACGATGGTCACAATTTCCTGCAGGGAGCCCACAGTTGAGGCCCCAGCCTGATGGACACCCACAGGCAGCTGTGTCTAGGGAGGAGCCTAGGCGGGAGGCCCCCAGGGCCCAGCAGCAAGGTCAACCCCTGGACAGGACACAGGGCCCCATGGGGCCACAGCCATGAGCACGTGGGGGCCTGAAAACCACAGAGGTCTTCATCTGCCCTGTTGGGCTGGGGGGTCCTCCCTGTCTGGGATGGGGGGTCCTCCCTGTCTGGGCTGGGGCCTCCTCCCTGTCTGGGCTGGGGCCTCCTCCCTGTCTGGGATGGGGGGTCCTCACTGGGCTGGGGGATCCTCCCTGTCTGGGCTGGGGGGTCCTCACTGGGCGGGCTGGGGCCTCCTCCCTGTCTGGGCTGGGGCCTCCTCCCTGTCTGGGCTGGGGGGTCCTCCCTGTCTGGG